ACATAGTTATTTTATTTTGCTTTCTTCATAGCTGCTTTATTTTATTTTTTTCTGCTCATCAGAAATTACATAGTATTCAGGCGTAGGAAAAAAAACATACAACATATGGCAACTATTCATATGTCTCTAATCAATTTTGGCATACTTTATATTTTTTTACTCTAATGTTGTTGTTGACTTATGCCTGCTTAGGCAGAGGGGGTGCGATTGTTCTTGTTTTACAGTGGCGCCATCTATGGCCAAGGATTTAATTTTAAACGAACAGGGACAGTAAGTGTAATACTATAAGTGCACAGTGTATGTGTATAGTGTAATATTTTTTTATTACACTGTAAAACGATCAGAAAAACAAGTTCTGTATATTTATTTATACACCGTGTCCCAAGATTTACGAAGCAGTAATTTTAGCACACATTTATTTTTTATTATTTTTTATTGATTCATAAAGTTTTCAGTATAGGTTTATTCATGGTGCACCATATCAGGTAATTGGGGTGCTTTGCAGTGATGTCAAGCAAGCAATCTTTGGTCAAAATATTACTCATTACTTTATCCGAAAAAACGGGGCATCTTGGCATAAATTTTTAAATTAAGAAAAGTTCAATAACGTTAAATCGCTTGATTTGGATGACCGATTACGATAACCGAAATGGAGATTACTGAACCTGGAAATGGCTCAATAATTCTCAAAATACTGTGCAACAATGAAAAAGCGTTGTATGTTCATTATATTAATCTTGTATTACCTGCTACCACTTTGTCTTTTTTTTTTCATATTAAAATACAGATAGTGCAAAATTAAAACCACATACCATTTAGATACAAAAAAATTATGATTAATGTGGGATCGTTCTGATATACTGTCCCTGTTTTATTCGTTTGACTATATTTTAATAATTCACATGAATGGCAATTCAACTTGAACCATATTTCTGCACTAACATACATACGTACCATTATCGGTATTAAGAGGTTCAATAAATGTAAAACATTTGACCCTTGGTACAAAAATGAATAACCCCAGAAGGAGAAATATACAACATGAATACGTCATTACTTTCTTTCTTCTTAGCGCAAAAAATTAAACAAAATAAAGGTTGATCAGCTTTTTTTAATAACACTAGCAGTAACACAACTGAAAATAACTTTTAACAATGAAGGTTTGAATTGAAGATAAACAATGAAGTAAAATTTTCAACGCTCTCTGTTGCCATGCGATCATTCTTACTGAATCACGATCAATTTATCTAAACATTTCCTTTTATTTCCCATCAATTCTTTTCAGGATAAAATTAAGCTAATTTCTTTTCGAAATTCTGGAAAATAGATAGCCATGTATTGCGAAATCACCCACATATATTTCTTATTAAAATATATAGAACAGTAGAAAACTGAGCTTTGTGTCGTCTGTTCCTGTTTTATTCGTTTCTTATATTTTTTAATTCACATGAATAGCACTTTAACTTGAACCATATTTCTGCACTAATGTGCATACTTACCATTATCAGTATTAAGAGGTTCAATACATATATAACATTTGACGCTTGTTAAAAAAATGAATAACTCCTGAAGTAGAAATATACAACATGAATACATCATTAGTTTTCTTCTTTTTAGCGCAAAAAACTAATCAAAATAAAGGGTGATGAATCTTTTTTTTTAATAAAACTAGCATTAATGCCATTAGCATTTACAAATATTTTTTCAAAACACTAGCACTATCAGTAACACAACTAAAAATAACTTTTAGAATGACTAAAAAAACTTTTAACAATAGAGATATGAATTAAAGGTGAACAATGAAATAGAATTTTCAACACTCTCTGTTGCCATGCGATCATTCTTACTGAATCACGATCAATTTATTATTTTCCATCACCACTATCTTCCCATTAATTATTTTCGTGATAAAATTAAGCTAATTTCTTACGAAATGCTGGAAAAGAGATAGCCATGTATTGCAAAATCACCCACATATATTTCTTATTAAAATATATAGAACAGTAGAAAGCTGAGCCTTGTGTCGATTCGAAATGCTTTCTAACTAATTCGTTGTAACCATAATGTAAACCAGTTTTCGTACTTCTAACTTAACATTTTTTAATGAGATACTTAAGACCGGTAAGATGATGCCTGCAACCATAAGTTTTCTTTTTTGCTTCATTGATCGAGTCTTTTTTTCCTCTACTAAATTAAAGTACATCTAAACACTAATTAATGTACATTTTCTACTACGTAAGGAAAAAAAAACGTATACAAAGAATCAGATTTTCCTTCTCATTTAGGTACATTTATTGATAGGCATAATAAAATAAACTGAATGGATTGAAAGATAATTATCGATATGAAAAACTATCTAATGAAATGAAAACCAATTCAGGCATGCCCATTGGGCAGAAAAACACATGTTCAAGAAATAAGGCAGTTATTACTGATGTATGAAGTTGTAATTAGCGAATATTACAAAAGTTATTCAGTTAGGAATTTTGAGAGAAATACACTATACGTTTGTTTATGAATATAATTTTATAGTGCAAATCATACACTTCAGAATTTTTTTAAACACAAAGTAAACAAAGAAAATGGATTCGAGATACAAAATGATGTTGTAACTTGGACCAACATATGTTGTATCTTAAACCAATGGATATTTTTCTTCTTGTAACTTTACAGTTGATTGAATTTAAATAATCCAAATAAAATTCCTTTTTCTTGAAATCCAAATAAAAACTTTCAAATAAATCAAATTTATCAAAAACGAAATACATAAAATAATAATCTTTTCTTGGAGTATTTCAAAAATGCATACCTTTTCTAAGAGCATTAAAGTTTCTACGTATTTGCACATACTTGACACAAAGAAATATATTTGTGCTATCTATATTTGTTGCACATATTCTAGACTGAATTAAGGTACAAAAAACTTTCCCTTTAGTGATTTTGTTAGGCCTAACAAAAGAATAATTTTTTCTTAGAAAATATGATTTAATTTTAAAAATAATGGCAATTTGATGCTTATCTACACTACCCTACAATGATTGAAGAGACACTTTCAGTTTTTGAAATTTTTTTTTTTCAAATTTCTCAAGAAACACCAAGAAAATTATTTTATAACTTTTAAAGCTTTTATGTCATGCAATTTTTTTCAGAACTTAGATGACCGGTAACAAATGACGAGCGTAAAATAATGTTTTTGAACATTATGGCAGAAAATATGGCAATAATTTTGTAACTTGTTTCGATTACTTTGAATGTTATAGCAAGAATGTTATAAATTTTCTTAAACCTGCTTAATTATTCAGGAAAATATGAATATTTTTATACTCACGTTTGCATACTATTGCTATGAAAATATTCATGAAAATTAAATAAAATTAATGCAGTTTTCAATTAATAAAAACATATCATTTTAGTATTTAAAACTAATTTGTTAAAAAGTGTACAAGATCGGAGCATTTGAAGTGACTTTTTCATACTGCACAAGAGCAAAAAGTTTTGAAATTTATCTCTTCATATTTTTGTGAATTGTTTCGGTTAACTTTTGAAAAAGTTTAAGTTGAATACAGCGAAAATTTAAAAAGCCTCCAGTATTTACCTTAGAAGTAGTTTTTTTTAATTTTGAGAGGAAGCTCCGAATTATAAGGAATTTTCTGAACATTGAACATTTTATTTCGTCCCGTAAAACAAGATTTATTAACGACAGAATTTTATTTTCCTATTAAATTGATGGAAAAAAATCTATAGCACTTGAGCTTGTAGAACTTGACAGCAGCATGAAAAGATAGCGCTTTTTGTTACAGGTATCAAATATATATACTGAATGCAAAAGTTTTCCGAAGGGTGGAGTAAATATTTACACTTATCTAAGTTACAGCACTCTTTCTTAATATTTATAAGGATTTTGTAATCTATTTATTATATTCTTATTTTTATTCTGTTATTATTTGAAAGATATTATTTTTTTACATTATTATTTTTATTCTAATATTATTTTTTTACATTATTATTTTTATTCTAATATTATTTTTAATGTATTATTATTTTATTCCATTATTATTTTTATTCTATTATTATTTTTAATCCATTATTATTTTTATTCTATTATTATTTTTAATCCACTATTACGTTTTTTTGTCTAAAGCAACGATCAGTATAGTTTACATTCGATTTAATTTTTATTAGCTTTCATAAAACAGTATTACTTCTTTTACGGTTTTCTGGTTGTTATGGAGTATATGGGAAGAAATCAAAGAGTTGTGTGAATAAAAGTATTAAAACTTATTAGATTTTCTGCCTTCGAAATCTGCGCATGTTATATTTATAACGAGGGAATTACCAAACTGCAATCTTAAGCTAACCGGCTATTGAGCGAAAACTGAAAAACTGGTATTATGGAAATTTGAAATCTCACTGCTTTACTTTTTCAATGTAATATTCGGAGGGAAAAAAATCCTTCACAAAGATTTTCTGACAAAAATATTTTTTTTTTAAATAATTGGCAAAGAGATGAGTTCGCGAATATTCTGTTAAAAATTTTGCTTCCACTGTTTTTCAGTTTTCAGAGAACACTACATCAAAAGGATTATTTCAGATTTTAAAAGAGAAAACTCTCTAAACGGAAAATATCAATTTGTAAAACGTAAAATATCCTATATAAAAACGGAAAAATTACGACAATTCTTCCTCCAGAACTTTCGATTTAAGGTGAATTTGAAACTACAAATTGATACAACTATTTTTTGCTTATTGTCCCTTAACATGAATATATTAGAGTAGTTCATAGTACAACAGTGTTTCACATTATATTTCTCTCTCAGACATGTATCTTATATAATGTGGATCGTAATAATTGTACTTCTCATTGTTGCATATATTTTCTCAGAATAGGACATGAGATAGTTAAAGTTTTCGTAGTGTTATTTCGTAGCACATAAATGAGTTATTAAATACATTATTAAATTGATAAATAAGCAACCTCTACCACGTCAAATAACAAAAACTCAAGAGGAAAAAAATTTATTTCTTTTTCTCATGTAACATTAATCTTACTAACCAACCATCACAATATGTGAGCCACAGCCTTCTCCAGGTTGTGGGCAACAATCAGGATAATTGCCAGGTGGTCTGACAGTTGTATCGCAGCCTTGAATATATCCGCATCTGAAATTTTAAAATAATGAACCAGCAAATAAATCAAAACATAAACTATGCATACGTTCATAAATCCCGTATATATATATATATATATATATATATATATATATA